AACCGTCGGTTTTTCAATTTTTGGTTGAATTTTTTTGTAACTTTTCTAGAAATCGATAGATTTTTCGATCCCAATTGAAGTTTCCAGTGAAGATTTCTAGAGAGAAGGCATAGCTTGGTTTAGAGAGAGAGGGAGAAGGAAGTCTGAAGCAAATGCATTAGAATTAGCTTATATAGCTATTTGGAATGACACCATTTTGTTAAGCTAGGATCTGCGCATCGACCTAAAGACCGCTGACTCGCGTCCTGACTCAACCCAATCACATGTTTTTCTTTTTCCATTTTTATTTTATTTTTTGATTTTATTTGATTTTATTTTATTTCTAACCCATTTTTTAGTTTATTATTTTTTGTTAAAAAAACGAACCAAAAAAAAAAATACTTCTGCCACTGATATCCTTTTTTGAAAAATATATTTCAAAAAATTTTTTTTCTTAAAAATAATGTTTCCAAAATACTAAATAAATGAACAAAAGTTTTGAAAGGGTTTACTGTTCTAATAAAATTCATAAATTATCTGGTAAATTATAGAAAAGAGCAAAGCTTGGATAATTTGAAATCAAATTGGTGCCATCCCATGGATGGGCATTTTGGGGGTGCTACGACCTTCTCCATGCTCAATCGACTTTCGAATCTAACATATGTTTTGCAGATCAGCTTCAAACAGGTGACCAATCACACCTAACTAAAAAAGATTAGTGACAACTTCTTTCATTCTAAGTCTAGCGATAGGTTCGCGAATTTATACGTTATAACAAATCTTAAATATAAATAGTCGCACCTAAACTCTATCTAGAGGTCGGAGAGTTTTGGTAGTCTATTTATATTTAAGGATCCGGTCCCAAAATTGCATTCCATTGTTTTGCATGACATTCATTCGCATATATTTATTTTTAGATTATGATTTGCATTCATTCCACATGTTCCCTTTTCAATTGTAACTATTGTTTCTTGTTTAATTGTAGTATCATCAGTTCTTTTCTTTTTGATAAAATGTTTTTTATGGAAAGTATTATTCAAAAAAATAGATTTTAAAATAAAACTAAAATAACATTATGAGAAAAATAATTCTTAATACTCGGTCTAAATATTGGAGAGCTACCAACAATTATTATCTGTAAGGAATGTTATTTTCATTTTAAAAGGAATGTCATGGTGAATCTTAGGTGAAAAGGGTTATCTTTAAATTCTGTCTAGATGTTGAAAATTCTAAAGTCATTCTTTAACCTAATGATTTTCTCAATATTCAAAACAAAGACTATGAATAAAATTGATTTTATTTAAAAAAAAAAAGTGAAGGGAATGATTATTAAATTTCAAATAAAAACAATTTTCATCCAAAACAAAAATAACACATAATTAATTGGCACCATTTTTTAAATAGGTGTTGTGGGTGTGTTAATCCCTCTCCACATGTAATTGTATACCTGAACCCAAATTTGTTTTTAAATATTAAAAATGTCTTTTTGATAAACCTTAAATTCTTTTTTTTGTTATATTAAAAGGATAAATTTTTTTAGGTGATTAATCGCACCTATCAAAACAAATTGGTGGTGACTCTCTTTATATTGAAAATTTAAAATTTTCTTATGTAATGGTCCCAAAAATTGTTGTGACAATTGTCTAACAACAATTTAACTCACTTGCCTTTATCTTGTATCAAAATAAGGTGAAATTAAACGCTCAATCTTTGGAAGCAAAGCTTTAAATATGTGATCCAAAATGGTGCATTTATTTTGATTTTATTGAAATGTTATAATGTGAAAAAAAAGATAATATAGTTGAAGCCTTGGAATTGCAAGCTCTTCAATTTCGGCCATGTCAAGTGACAAATTGGAATGCCCTTTTTCTATGGCCTCTTCCCATTTTATGGTTAATTCCATATCTTGGGTCCCTATTACGATCACTTCTTAAATTGATATTGAAAAGAAATTGAAAGTGGTGATATTTTTGCTACATATTCCAATTGAGAAGTGGGGAATCCCATCTTAGAGAGCGAAATTTAATGAGAGCTCACAATGCAGTAATAATGATTAGATAAGAATTGGAAAGCATGTTTCAAGAAATGCTAGTAGTTTACTGATAAAATATTGAATTCATCATTTTTTTCGTCACAATTAAATTTTTGATAACTTAAATACAAAAAAGTGTAGAATATGGGATTGAAAATTAAGTAGACAAAGAAAAAGAGAATGCAAACAAATTGGTTGAAAATTCCTTGGCTGGATCGTTGATTTTGAAGTAGAAACCATAAAACTCTGATCAATTAATTGCCTTACAATTAAGTTTCTCTTAATTCTTCATGGGGAACTCTCAATTCATTTTGGCTCTTATGGTGGTAGTGCTGTTTTCTAATTTTGTGGTTTCCTTGTCAATGAAGTCAACCACCACCAACATCATTAGCACAGATCAACTGGATCTTCTTGTTCTAAAAGCTCATATCAACGGTGAACTCCTAATATTGTAAGTGTTTTCTCATCTTTCATTAATAAAATTTTGTTTAGCAAAAAGAAAAAATAAAGAAAATGGCCAATTGAAAACAATAGATTTGAACAGAGTGCAACTCAAACTTGCTTTTTGGGTAGAAGTTAAGAACACTATCATATATGTCAAAGTCAATCCCAACCTTTCTAAGCAACAAGTTGTCAAAAAGTCATATGTGGTCACAATTATAACGCATTGTTAGGGTTAGAAAACTTTATGTATTTGGTCATATCAAGTGACAACTTTGAATGCCCCTCATTTTGGGTCTTTAATCATTTTCAAATTGGAAAGTGGGAATCCCAATCTCATGTTTTTGCTCAAATACGCTAAATTTTCACATTTCACATTTCACATTGGAAAGGGTTCTTCTGCAAAGATATACCTTGGTTGAGTACATGAGAGTAACGGAGAGTGAGTACTAAGGTGTCTACAATTTCACATTTTTTTTTTGCTCGAATATGCTAAATTTTCATTTATTTAAAGAAAGCAGTAAAAGCAAAAAATAAAAGTGTAAAATTATCAATAATCAAGTGACTTATAAGAACAAATAAGAAATTAAGTAAAGAAAGTTAAAAAGCCATCTACTCTTTCTATAATGTTGATGAACAATTTTTTTTTGTATTCTCATTTTTCGTGTTAAAGATGTTGCAGACTTCTATTCATTGTCAAGGTCTCATAATTATCCAAATTTGCAAAGCGGCCAATCAGCTTCAAAATACCATTGACATTCAGCCCCCCCTCTTTCACTCACCCATGTCCCTTTTTGTTCTTTTTAGTTGACCATAAACCCAAGCTGTCCGCCCTTCACCAAACACACCACACCAGGTTACTTCCCTCAGCTTCGTTCTTTTGAAACTCTTATAGTTTAGTAATATAAATATAAATTCATTAATTGACCTCTCCTACAACTTTATAATTCTTATTAATTAAGCACCATTATAAATATCTTTAAATCAAATATCTCAATATAATTACTCTTTTATATAGAATCAACTAAAAATGAAATAGAAACGCAAACCGCCTTAGAGCATTTCCACGTTCAGTGGGACAAAGAGAGGGGCCATCGATTTTTTTTTTCATTTAAATTTAGTTATATAAAAAATTACAATATTTATTTTATTAATTTACAAAAGAGTTCAAATAATTATAGACTTACATAATCGATTGTTTAAATGAACGAGTTACATGTGAATTGTTTTTTTTGTCAGGACTAAACATTTAAATCTAGCAATCATGTTTCGCTTGATCCAATTTATCCCACGAGCATCTCTAATAATTTCATATTAATTGTCAAAATTGACACTAATCAAAATTGATTGATTTCTATAACCACAAAATGCCTAATAGAACAACTGAATTGACAAGAGTGCATGGTAGAATTTGATGATATAAGTCTTGAGTCAACCACAATCTTTCCAAGCTACAAGTTGTGAATAATACAGGAAAGTTTTATCTTTAAGTCATGCTCGTATCAATATGGCTACAATTATAGCGTATTGTTTGGGTAAGAAGATTGGTTTTCCATTTGGCATGAAAATGACAATTGACAACTAAACCAGAATATTTTTTTTTCTAACTTCTAATTGGAAAGTGAGTAAAGTATTTCTACAGTGCTAATGCTGTCTCTTTACTCCAGTTTTTCTGATTGGAAAATATTTCTACACTTGACTCTCGTACCTAAATGCATAATCTTTGGGGGCAATTAGCTTAAAGCTATGATCCCAAATGAAGCATTTATCCGGATCTTGTTGACACAAGGAGGCTTCCCCAAAAGAATTGCTTGCAAAAAAAACTCTATCTTGGAGTGATAAATCATCTAAATAGTCTTCAAATTTTGCCAATTTATGGTTAAATCCATATCTTTTTTCATTGTACCATATTATCATTTGTCGATTGTTAAGGAAAAGCAAATTGAAAGTTGTGATTTTTCCTACATTTTGATCAAATTGGAAGTGGCCTATGTTAAAAAAGAAAGAGTTGTTCAAACCAAAAAAATAAATAAATAAATAAAAAACAATTTACCCAAAATTCAATTACAAATATACATTTTTTCTTGTGTTACAAATAAATATGAATCTACAAATAAACCAAAAAAAAAGAAAGAAAGACTCTGTTCCGAGTTGTCAATCGAGTAATAATTAACAAAGGAGAAAGTGATTTGTGTAGAATTCATATTTACATGGGCTATTACATGGAAATTGTCTTAATTGTCCTATACTCTGTTTCGAGGTAGTTTCTCTGCTCAAGAATAAAATTTTTAAAAATCATTAATGATAAATGTTAAGTTAGTTCTTAAATCATGGATAATATGATACAATTAATTATAAAAAGTCGCATAGTACAAATAAATTTGATTAACTTTATCATAAAATTACTTTTTTTTTTAAATAACAATTAAGTTACATTTTGTTTGGCCTTAAATGCCAATAAAAATAAATAAGAAATGAGAAAGTTACAAATTTACCTTTGAAAATTCTTTGCAATGCCAACTGCCTAGTTATAATTTTTCTCAGTGGAAGGGCAGGGAAGCTCGTGGTCCATCACGATTTTCATCGGTTCGATTATTGAAGAAAGAAACATCAAAATTTTTCCTCTTACAAGTTCCAATTCTACATAACTTCATGGCAAACACTCGGTTTATTCTTCTGCTTCTTATGGTGGTGATGCTTTTGCCTTGTTTTGTGGTTTCATTCTCTACGAAAAAAGTAACCAATATCAGCACAGACCAGTTGGCTCTTCTTGAACTAAAAGCCCATGTCATTAGTGATCCTCAAAACTTCTTGGCAACCAACTGGTCAACTGCTACCTCTGTTTGCAATTGGATTGGTGTCACTTGCGGTTCTCGGCACAGAAGAGTCACGGCTCTGAATCTTTTTGGCATGAATCTCTCCGGTACCATACCACCACACCTGGGAAATCTGTCGTTCCTTGTTAGGCTCAGCATCGGAAACAACGGTTTTCATGGCTCATTGCCCATTGAATTGGCTAATTTTCGTCGACTGAAATCTATAAGGTTGTCTAACAACAATTTCAATGGGGAAATTCCATCCTGGTTTGGTTCTTTCACTGAACTTCGGGATTTGTCTTTGAATAGTAATAACTTCATGGGAGTTATCCCATCTTCTTTATGTTCTTTGTCAAAACTAGAAATCTTGAGCTTGTACCAAAACAATCTACAAGGACAGATTCCGGTGGCAATCGGAAATCTTTCTAGTCTGAGACGGTTATTTTTGCATTACAATAAACTTTCAGGCTCTATACCTTCCTCAATCTTCAGCATATCTTCATTGGTGCAGATTTTTCTCAGCGACAACCAGCTAATTGGTTCAATACCCTCCATCCAACTCAACATTTCTTCCCTGAAAACAATTGATTTAACATTTAACAATCTCACTGGTCATATCCCACCAAATATGTTTGATTACCTACCTAAATTAAAAGGGCTTTCTCTGAGTTGGAATCAACTTTCTGGCAGAATTCCAATGAGTTTATTCAAGTGCCAAGAGTTGGAGGAATTATCCTTATCTATTAACAATTTGGAGGGGATTATTCCTGTAGAAATCGGAAATTTGACTATGCTTGAGAGCTTGTATCTTGGAGACAACAACCTTAAAGGTAAAAGAAAAATAGTATTTCAGTTTTTTTTTTTTTTTTTGACATTGACAATGCCACTTTTTTTTTTTTTTTGCAATTACGTAAAATTTTTATGTATTTTATCGTTAATTTCTTTAATATCATTTTCTTTTTATGTAAATTATATGATTTGATGTTCTTCAAAACTAGTTTTTCACTACCAATTTCGCTAGAATATATATTAGGAAACCACTAAGTGAACACCATACATTATTTAATTTATAGCCAGACAAAAACTGCAATTTTTTATTGAAAAATACTAGTTGCTTTACTGTTGTTGCATCAACTAACATGACAACAATTTGTTTAATCAAATTCTCACACTCAACGCCTATATATATATATATATATATATCTTTATGCTTTACATCATTTACTGCAAGCAAATAATGTTTGGGCTTTTGGATCTTTCATTGTTTCTTTTTATTTAAATTCGCTCACTTCATTTTTTTTCTTTTAATTTTTATCATTTGATTCTCAAAGTTTACTTTTATACCAATTAACTTTTACTTTGAAATGAAATAAAATTCCATTATAAATGCAGGTAAAATTCCATTACAGATTGGAAATCTTCTGAGTTTGGAGAAATTAACTATAACAAATTGTCATCTGACAGGGGTTATTCCCTCAGTTATTGGCAACCTAACATTCCTGAAAATTCTAGATTTTTCCAACAATAACTTGACAGGTAATATTCATCATTGTTCCCATTTGTATTATAGCTGCATTTTTTTAAAAAAATATTTGAATATTAAACATTAGTTTATTCTTCTATGCTTAACAAAGAAATGGGACTTATTCATGCATAAGAAAACGAAATTTGGCCTTATTAATTTTTTGCAATAACTTTGAAAGGAAATAAAATTTCATTTTAAATCATTTTAAATGCAGGTCAAATTCCATCACAGATTGGTAATCTTCTGAATTTGGAGGAATTATTAATACCGAATTGTCAGCTAATAGGGGCTATTCCTTCAATTGTTGGCAACTTAACAATTTTGAAAATTCTTGATTTTTCCTACAATAACTTGACAGGTAATATGTCACATTATTCTCATTTGTATTATAGCTACATTTTTTAATATTTGAATATTAGTATTATTTTTTTTAGTGAATACTAATATTATTATTAGACACTCTGTTGAAATATTTTCAAATATAGTGAAATATTTAATTGATTAAATATGAAGTTTAATCAATGAATTGAGAGACCGGTGATTAAGAGTTATAAAATAGCTATGGAAAGATTCCATAACCAAAGAAAATCGATTTAAGTCACAAAAAAATAAATTAGTAAAAGTTTCAGTATACGTAAATGAATTCTCATGCATGAGATTCGACTACCATGTTTATAGACTGAAAATTTTGACTATGTTTTGAATTTGCTCTATACCCGTCAATTCTCTTGTAGGGGTAGTCGAATGCCATGTTTAGAAAAATTATAGAATCGAATGAAATAAATTTAAAGGAAAATGTTTCTTTCTTTCCTCGATTCTCCATCTTGAACCTCCACAAAACTGAAAAAAAAAATGTAAAACTAACACTCTACTTAGACTCACAAACTAACATACTTTTATTGTAGTCTTTATAACATAACATGGAACCACCTCTTTATTTTTCATTGAAATGTGAGATTGAGGAAACGAATAGGAAAAGGGAATGGGCGAAGAGAATTAATTTGTATGCAGAGTGTAGGTGAGAAAGAGATTTTGAGTGGTGCATGGGAGTGTTCTATGTCATATTTCGAGCCCAATTAGGCAAACTTTTTTTTTTTTGTAAAGTCAAGTCCACCAATATAAAATTTTATAACATTAATAATTAAAAGAATTTTATGTTTATATTCTTAAATTTAATATATATATATATATAATATTAGACAACGGCATCAAATAGGAAATTATAGTTCCTTTCATTATAGGACAGTATATTAGATTTCAAAATCACATTATTTTGTTGAATTAAGGTATTTGACTGATTATGTTAAAACAATAATTATTAAAAATTTATATAAAATTAACAATACCAAGATATATGTGCAAATAACATCTCCATTTGTTTTGTCATTTATTATGTGGATCAATATAGCACAATGGAACTACCCTTTGATTTTTGTGGCAGGTAAAATACCAGATCAATTTGGCAACCTACCAAAATTGGAAGAATTGTATTTAGTATCTAACAGTATCACCGGAATCATCCCTCCTCGTATCTTTAATAGCTCAACTGTGAGATTCATTTATCTAACTCTAAACCAGCTCTCAGGCTACCTTCCATCAACCACAGGCCTTTGGCTTCCGAAGCTTGAAGTCCTTGAACTTTCAGCAAATGAGTTAAGTGGATCAATACCTGTCTCTATCTCTAATGCCTCTCGGCTTACTCTTCTTAACTTTGGAAGCAATTCATTTTCTGGATATATTCCCATCGGCCTTGGCAATCTAAGGGATCTACAGTGGTTCAACCTTGAGTATAATAATTTGGTTAGCACACCTTCATCTTCAGAGTTGAGCTTTCTATCTTCATTGGCAAATTGCAAACAATTGAGATTCTTAGCGTTTGATACAAATCCATTGATCAGCGGTAAACTTCCGGTTTCTATAGGAAATCTCTCTGTTCAAGAATTTGTAGCTGATGGTTGCAATATTAAAGGAAGCATTCCAGGAGAAATTGGCAACGTAAGCAACCTGTTTTACTTGAACCTAGATAACAATGAACTGACTGAATCAATTCCCACCACAATTGGAAGATTAAGAAATTTGCAAAGACTCTCACTTCAAGGCAACAAGTTAGAAGGATCCTTCCCAACTGAGTTATGCAATCTAAAGAGTTTGAGTTACTTGTATTTAACCGGTAACAAATTGGCTGGATCCATACCAGCATGCATAGGTGATCTCGTTTCTCTTAGACATCTATTTTTGGGCTCAAATAAGTTTGCCAACTCAATACCCTCAACCTTGACAAGGCTTACAGATATCTTACAGCTAAACTTGTCTTCCAATTATTTAAGCGGGGCCCTCCCAGTTGACATTGAAAAGTGGAAGGTTATCACTAGCATTGATTTTTCCAAAAATCAATTATCAGGTGAAATATCAATGAGCATTGGTGATCTTAGGGACTTGACCTACCTCTCATTATCTGGTAACAGATTGCAAGGACCTATACCAGAGTCATTTGGGGGTCTAACAAGTTTACAAGTCTTGGATTTGTCAAGGAACAATTTCTCAGGATTCATCCCCAAGTCTTTAGAAAAACTCTTGTATCTTGAACATTTTAATGTCTCATTCAATAGACTAGAAGGAGAAATTCCTAACAAAGGATTCTTTGGCAACTACTCTATTCAATCATTCATGGGAAATAAAGCACTATGTGTCGCACCTCAGCTGCGACTCCCACTCCCACCATGCAAAGCTAATTCTTCTGGAAGGCATTCAAGGAAAGCTCTTCATCTTGTAAAATACATTGTATTGCCAATTGGTTCAACAATAATAGTACTAGCTCTGATTCTAATTTTTTCACGAAGACGAAAAGGGAATGCAAATCTGCCAACTGGTCAAGAAAATTTCCCAGCATTAGCAGAATGGAGAAGAGTTTCATACCAAGAGCTTCAACAGGCTACATATGGATTTTCTGAAAGCAAATTACTTGGTGTGGGGAGTTTTGGATCAGTATACCAAGGAATTCTTTCAGATGGGTTGAGCGTTGCAGTAAAGGTCTTCAATTTGGAGTTAGAAGGAGCATTTAAGAGCTTTGACGTTGAGTGCGAGGTCTTACGTAACATTCGCCATCGAAATTTAGTCAAAATCATCAGTAGCTGCTCTAACATTGATTTTAAAGCCTTGGTTCTTGAGTTCATGCCTAGTGGAAGTCTAGAGAAGTGGTTGTACTCTCATAACCATTTTTTGGATATCTTGCATAGGTTGAACATAATGATTGATGTGGCATCTGCATTAGAATACCTTCATCATGGTTATACAACACCTGTGATCCATTGCGATTTAAAACCCAACAACATTCTTCTTGATGAAGATATGGTTGCACATTTGGGTGATTTTGGCATTGCAAAGCTATTAGGTGAACACGATTCGACAATACACACCGTGACACTAGCAACGATTGGGTATATGGCACCAGGTAATACAAAATTTAAAACTCTTTTACCCTATTATGATGACTAATGTAACATCATTGTATGCTTTGATGATGATTTTGACAATTTATATGTAGAATACGGATCAGAAGGAGTTGTTTCAACAAAAGGTGATGTGTACAGCTTTGGTATTCTTTTAATGGAGACCTTCACAAGAAAGAAACCCACAGATGAAATTTTTGCTGGAGAAATGAGCATAAAATATTGGGTGAAAAAGTCGTTACCATCAGCTTTGATAGAGGTTGTAGATACCAATTTGTTAAATAATGAAGCAAGACAATACTATGCGACAAGAGATTGTGCTTTATCTATTTTGCAATTAGCATTGGAATGTACAGAAGAAGTTCCAGATGAGAGGATTGATATGAAAGAAGTTGTTGCTAAGCTGAAGAAGATCAAAATCAAGTTTTTACATGAGTCGAATAGGCGGGCCTAATGAGGAGAACCTTCATGTAGCTGGCGTTTCTATTTGTCTCCTTTGAGCTTATGGGTTTGTCTTTCTTGATTTCCTTTAAGCTTAGCAAATCCATAGTTTCAGCTCAATTCATTCGTATATGAGTTCTTGCCTTAATAAATTAACTGTGTTTTTGGGGTTTTGTTTTAATGTGTGTTCATGAACATTAAATGAATTGCTGAATTGCTATAAAGTTCTATGTTGTATTTGATGTTTATTTGTTTTGGTTGACTTAAAGTTTCTTCAAAATGTTTAAAACAAAAAGGTTTTTTTCCTTGTACAGATTGGTTAGAATTGGAAATCATTGTTGTAAACTTCACGATTTGATTTCTTTTGGAGAGAAGTCTGTCTTTCTCATCCCTTCAAGAAATAAAAACAGAGTTCCTCAAAATAGTGAGAAACCAATTATCAAAGTATTCATTAGGTTTGAGGTTAGTCAAAAAATTGTATTGAAAAAACTTTGCCTATTGTGGACACCCAATTTGGTCCAGGCCTGGATTAATTGGGCCTGGTCCAAATGAGTAAGCCCATTTTGTATTTTTGTTTTGTATATTATTTATTTATTTATTGCTATTATTATTATTTATTAATATATATATTTTTATCTATTAATATATATTATTATTTATCTATTAATGTATGCAAATTTTTATTATTAACTATTATCTATTATTTATCTATTAGTATATATATTTATTATTTATCTATTTTTTTATTTTCTTTTTTTTTGGCTGGGATTAAAGGATATTGATAAAAAAAAGTTGAAATTTTATCGTAAATTTAAGATTCAATCAGAGTCCAGATTAGATTCAAAGATTGAATCTCAATCTAAGGGGGAATTGGGATTGATCATAAACTCTTCTGATCAATCCCTATAAATAGGTCCACAGAAATCACACAGGAGGACACAGAGAGGAAACATAAGCTAAAAAGGTTCTGGCGCATTAGAAACAACTTTAGAAATTTGTGGGAAATTTTTTAGAATTTTTGAAGTTTTTTTTCTGGAAAATTTTTAGAAATTTTCCAGAATCGAACGAATTTTCCAGCGACATTTGAATTTTTTGATGACTTTTCTGATCAAATTTGAAGTTTTCGGTAAGTTTTTGCCAAATTCCAGTGGAATTTCAATCGAAATCTGGGTTTGAGTAGAGAGAAAGAGGAGGAAAAGAAAGGAAGAGAGAGAGAGAGAGAATGGGAGATCTGGTGAAAAAATGGTGGTATTTGCCTTTTATACCCTGTTAAAATGACGTCGTTTTGGTGTTAGTAAACTCAGAAGATCCACACGTTTTTGTTCGGGCGACTTGACCGCATCGCAACCCGTTTTCAACCCAAGTTCGACCTGCACCTCAATCATCAAGTCGAGCCGAGTTGATTCCAGCTGCTCAAGTCGAGCCGTGTTAAGGTTTTTTTTTCATTTATTATTATTATTATTATTATTTATTGATTAGATTAGAATTATTTGGTATTCCTTATTTTAGGTTTTTTTTTTATTTATATTTTATTTTTTTATGATTTTCTTAAAATAAAAAATTTTCAAAAAAGATATTTTTTGAGAAAAGTTGAAAGTATCAATTTTCCTTAAAAATAAAATTTTCAAAAACATTTTAAGGAAAGTTGAAAGTATCAATTTCCCTTGAAAATAAAATTTTAAAAAATATGTATATATTCTTGGGAAAAAGTTGAAAGTATCAATTTTCCTTAAAAATAAAATTTTCAAATGCTCTAAGGAAAAGTTGAAAGTATCAATTTTTCTTAAAAATAAAACTTCCAAAAACATTTTAGGGAAAGTTGAAAGTATCAATTTCCTTTGAAAATAAAATTTCCAAATGCTTTAAGGAAAAGTTGAAAGTATCAATTTTCTTTATATAAAAGCAATGAGTGTTTTTTTAAAAAGAGAGGAAAAGATTTATATCAAAAGTTGAATCATTATTCATTTTTTTCTTCTTTTCTTCTTATTTTAAATAATCCGACGATAAAGCCTCTGCAAGTAAAACAATAGTTTCCTTGCATACTCTTAAGATAAGGAAATTTTTTCAATTTTTTGCAAAAAGTATTAGAGTCAATTGAAAATAATTTTCAATAATTAATTACTTGGTAAATTTTTAAAGCTTATTGGATAACACAAAATTAAGCTGGTAACCATCTTTCGATAGGCATTGTGAGGGTGTTATAACCTTCCTCACACGTAACCGTACTCCCAAACCCTGTTCTGGTTAGTAGACCTAAACCTATTCTTTTAGGGATCCTTAGACGTAGGTGTTCCTTAAAAGGATAGATTCCTTAGGTGGCCAATCGCACGTAGATAAAAAAGATTGGTGGTGACTCCTAAAGACAATGTCTAGTGATGGATCCTCGGATCTAGACGTTATGACACCTATCTACAAAGAATTTTTTTTCTCTTTTTTAACCTTTTCTATTACGCAAGTAATTAAGGATGTTAAAAATGAATTGCATTGTCTAACAACAATTTAACTCACTTACCTCTATCTTATATCAAAATAAGGTGAAATTAAATGCTCAATCTTCGAAGGCAAAGCTTTAAATTTGTGACCAAAATGATGCATTTATTTTGATTTTATTGAGATGTTATAATGTGAAAAATATGAAAATATAATTGGAGCCTTAGAGTTGCAAGGTCTTCAATTTTGGCCATGTCAAGTGACAAATTGGAATGCCTCATATTTTGGGTCTTTAATCAATTTATGGTTAATTCCATAACTTGATTTATTGGACCGTATTTTGATCATTAGTGAAATTGATATAGAAAAGCAATTGAAGTCATTATATTTTTCCTAAATTTTCAAATTAAAAAGTGGGAATCCCAATCCCATGTTAGAAAAGAAGATTTCACATTTCACATTGGAAAGGGTTCTTCTGCAAAGATGGAACTTGGCTGAATGTATGAGAGTAACGGAGAGTGAGAACTGAGGTGTCTACGATTCACATTCGTTTTTTTTTCTTTCAAATATGCTAACTTTTCATTTGTTTAAAGGAGCAGTAAACCGTCACAAGACAAGTGTAAAATTATCAATAATCATGTTATTTATTTATGAGAACAGACAAGAAATTAAGTAAAGTTAAAAAGCTATTTACTTTTTCTATAATGTTGATGAACAATTTCTTTTGTATTCTCATTTTATTTATTTAAAGATGAACAATTTCTTTTCTAGACTTCTATTCATTGTCAACGTCGCATAATCATCCAATTTTGCAAAGTGGCCAATCAGCTTCAAAATATCATTGACATTCATTCACCATCCCCTCTTTCACTTACTTACCCATGTTCTGTCATTAACAAACACACCACACCAGGTTACATCTCTCAGCCTTTTTGTTTTGAAACTCCTATAGTTTGGTAATACAAATATAAATTAATGTAACACCATTGTTCTTGTTTGTTTTGTGGTATTCAAAATATCTTTAAATCCAATATCTTTATATAACACCATTGTACCAGTTAATAACTCAAGACTAAATTGCCATAAGAATTGTTTATCTTAACTAATTTTATCTCAAGATGATTTAATCTTTCTTAATTGAATTGAATTGCTCACTTTTGTTTGTCATCCAGGTAGTTGAAAGTCCTAACATGAATTATTCTAAATAGAGAATTATCAAATTAAGTAAGATTAATTATTTTTGGTGAATTTTTTCAAGGTGTGACAAATTTCATTAAAGTCATCTTTTGAATGTGTTTATATCAATGTTACATTTTTTTTTTGCCACTGCCAATATTACATTCATTCATGAATATTTATGTTGTTAATACTAAAAATGAAATCATTATAAATAGTATATGTGCTACATAGCAAGTTTGTTATTTTGATAATTGGAATTTCCTTATTATTAAAACATGAAAAGTATCAAGGTTAGGAATTTATTTTATTTCATTTTAATTTCTAAAATTATATATTTTTATATAATAAAAAATTTCAAATAAAAGAAAATTTAAGATTTTAATCGGTAATATGTACAATTACATTCAATCAATGGAAGCACCAATGAAAAATTACGTAAAGCAAAAAAAAGAGATAAAAAATGGACTGAATATGCATAACTCTATTTCTCTATATGACAAATAAGGTTAGTACTACATGATATTTCAATAAATAATATACAAATGTATTGATTTCAGTTTTTTTTTTTTAGAATTACTATGAAACCCTTTTTAAGAAAAAAATTATATACTCCTTCATTTTCTTCATTATATCAGTTGAATAATATTCATTGTTATGTCAAAATTTTTGTTCAGTTGAATAATATACAGAATCTAATAAATGCAATGCAGTTCATTTATCTCTTCAATTGTAGTAAATCAAAATGTTCTCAAAGCTCTTTCCTTGGGTTGCTGATCTTAGTCTTGTTTCATTTTCAAGTCCATTGTTGGTTGAGACAGTGTAATTTTTTTTAATTAGGACTTAAAAGATTGTCACATATTTTTTAATTATTTTTTTAAATATAGTATGGAAAAGTGTTACATACCAAGAGCTTCACCAGGCTATGAAGGATTTTCTGACAGCAAATTACTTGGTGTAGGGAGTTTTGGATCAGTATACCAAGTTACTCTTTCAGATGGGTTGAGCATTGCAGTAAAGATCTTCAATTTGGAGTTAGAAGGAGCATTTAAGAGCTTTGACATTGAGTGTGACGTCTTGCGCAACATTCACCATCGAAATTTAGTCAAAATTATCAGTAGTTGTTCTAACATTGATTTTAAATCCTTGGTTCTTGAGTTCATGCCTAATGGAAGCCTAGAGAAGTGGTTGCATTCACATAACTATTTTCTGGATATGATCCCTAGGTTGAACATAATGATCGATGTGGGATCTGCAATAGAATATCTTCACCATGGTTATACAAAACCTATGATCCATTGTGATTTAAAAGCCAGCAATATTCTTCTTGATGAAGATATGGTTGCACATTTAGGTGATTTTGGCATTGCAAAGCTGTTAGGTGAACCATATTCCACAACACAGACCATGACAATAGCAACGACTGGGTATATGGCACCAGGTAATGACTAAATTTTAAACTCTTTGATCCTAATATAATGACTAATGTAACATCATTGTGTGCTTTTTTTGACAATTTACATGTAGAATATGGATCAGAAGGAATTATTTCAGCAAAAGGAGATGTGTACAGCTTTGGGATTCTTTTAATGGAGACATTCACAAGAAAGAAACCAACAGATGAAATTTTTGCTGGAGAACTGAGCATGAAATATTGGGTAAAAGAGTTATTACCATCATCATTAATGGAAGTTGTAGACACCAAGTCCTTAAATAGTGGGGAACCAGGATACTCAGCGACAAGGGATTGTGCCTTATCTATTTTCCAATTAGCATTGGAATGCTCAGAAGAAGTTCCGGAGGAGAGGATTGACATGAAAGAAGTTGTTGCTAAGCTGAAGAAGATCAAAATCAGGCTTTTATATGAGTCGAATAGGCGGACCTAATAAACAGAACCTTCATATAGTTGGCGTTTCTATTTGACCCCTTTGAGCTTATGGGTTTTCCTTTCTTGATTTCCTTTGAATATGGGTAGTTTCAGTTCAATTCGTTCATATATGAGTGCTTGCCTAAATAAATTAACTGTAGTTGTGGGCTTTTGTTCTAATGTGTGTTCATGAACATTAAATGAATTGTTCAATTCCTATAAATTTCTATGTCGTATTTTGTTTTATTTTGTTTTGGTTGATATAAAGTTTCTGTGAAATGTTTAGAAGAAAATTTTTTTCCTTGTAGAAATTGGTTAGTATTAGAATTCATTGTTGTAGAAATGAGCATGAAATATTGGGTAAAAGAGTTATTACCATCACCCTTGATGGAAGTTATAGATACCAATTTGTTAAATAATAAAGAAAAGGGAAACTCAGTTATAAGGGATTGTGCCTTATCTATTTTTCCATTAGCATTGGAATGTTAAAAAAAAAGGGGATTGATATGAAAAAAGTTTATGCTAAGCTGAAGAAGATCAAAATCAAGTTGATGCTAGCATTGGAATGTTCAAAATCAAAACCATGAGGAGAACCTCCATGTAGCAGGCATTTCTATTTGACTCCTTTGAGCTTTTGTGCATGTCTTGTTTTTATTTCCTTTGAGCATATGGGTTGAATATCCACAATTTCAGCTCAATTCATTTGTATATGAGTGCTTACCTTTGTAAATTAACTGCATTTGTGGGCTTTTGTTCTAATGTTTGTTCATGAACATTAAATAAATTTCTCAATTCCTATAGTTCTCTCTCTCTCTCTCTCTCTCTCACTCTCTCTCTCTCTCATTTTTGGTGTTTCTTTGTTTGCTTGAATTAATGTTTTTGCTTAAAGTTTTACAAAAAAGTGTTTCTGTAATGCTCATATGAATTTATAAGAAAGGTTATAACATCCCTGCAATGCTTATCCGAATGATGGTATCAGTTGATTTCATGTTATCTAAAAATCTTAAAAATCTTACCAAGTAATTTGTTATTAGAAATTACTTTTAAATTACTTTAATATATTGGTAATAATTTATGAATTTTTCCTAAACTTATGAGCATTTAAGGAGACTATTTGCTATGTTTTGAAGAAGTTTTATTATTGGATTCACTTAACTTAAAAAAAAAAAAAAACTCAAACACTATGTTCTCTTTTTATTAGTGACTAGTTTTCTTTTAGATGTTATGCACATAATTGTTAACCAAATTATAATTGTAATATAATAAAATAATTTTAATACTTTTATAGTGACAAAATTGAAATAACTATCATCATACTAAATTAATTGAAATTTTAAATTTAAGTTTGAAAAAAAAATATAACAAAAATTTTATATTAAAACTCCAATAAAGAATAATATTTAATCTTTCTTTATTTTGACTTTTTTTTAGAAGTTTTCTTTTAAATCTTTTGGTTTTAGGTCATCATCTTCATTCATTTTTTATATATTTTTTCATATTTTTATCAATAATAAATATAAAATAATAAGTGATTAAAGTTAAAAAATTTGACCAACAAAAATAAAAATGTGACAATTTTTCTAAGATTGAGGAAGTATTAAACTGAATTTTATTTACTATTAAATTATTATTAATTTACTATTAAGTTATCATTGATTTAATATTAAGTTATCACTTATTTTTATTAAATTATCCTTAATTTACTACTATATTGTTATGTATTTACAATTACGTATAAATGATTTAGTATTAAGTTATATGCTATTTACTACTATATTATTATGTTATCACTGGCATACAACTATCTTATCAATTTTTTACTACTAAATTATTATTTATTTACTATTAAGTTATCCATAATTTAATATACAGTTATAATTGATTTAATATAAAGTTATTATTGATTTTGTCTAAATTATCACTAATTTACAATAAAATTATCAATAATTTGCTACTATATTACTCTTTCAGTCTTTATTTGTTTGTCTTGTATTAATTTTTACGGAGTTTAAGAAAAAAGTTTTGACTTTAATGTAATTAATATTGAAATTAAAATTTTTTTTATAAAATCAAAGTTTTATGATTTTTAATGTTAAAAAGTAAAAAAGCAATCATAAAAAATAATTTAAAATATAAAAAGTAAGAGTTTTAGATGTTTAAAACAAAAAATATGACATAATTTTGGGATATCCCAAAAAGAAAAGATGGACAAAAAAAGGACAGAGAGAATATTATACATTAACTTCTATGTTATAATTTATTTACCACTAAATCCTTTATAATTAATTTAATTATATAAAACATATTAATAGGTGAAATGTGTTACAAACACTAAAATATTCATATGTAGAAAAACTACTTTAAATCTTCTAGTTGTACTGCTTATATTAAGTGTGGTATGAATGACTTAACCAAGAAAAACTATTTCAATAAGAAAATAAATAAAAAGCAAACAATATTTTAATTTGCTAAAAAATATTAAATAAAAATGAGTAGAGATAATTTAATAAATCATCACATTTTATATATAATATAGATATATATTAAACATCTTCTTAATTATAAAATCTCCTATTTAAATAGGTTATAAATTTTAAAATGTACATATATTTGTTAGTATTCTAAATTTTTAGCTAAAATTTAAATAACTATTTATAGTAAAGTTGGCTAAATTCCAAATGGAGCACTCTTACACATTAATTGGAAAAAAAATTAGGGCTCACGTTATCATCTATAATCTAATAGTTTTTTTTTTTTTTATCATTTTCTTATATATTATGATATATTGACCCATTGAGTAATAAAAAGACTAATTTAGTAATCTTAGGATCTATACAAAATATTAATTGATTCATTTATCTTATTTTTGTATATATATAATTTAATTTTATCAATTGAGTTAATTTTTTATCTTAATTGTTAGACTATATAAATAAATATATTTTATTCCACATCCTCATCAAATTTTTTATCATGCGATTAATGAGTTCAATTTTAAATTTTCCTTTCTTTATGAATCAAAGAATTAATTAGACATGCATAATTGCCATGTAATGTATTATTAATGGGAATCTACCAAAATAAAAATCATTTTTAATATTGTTTGGAGCTCACATTTTTTTATGTATAATAAACACACTCATAAAAATATAAATAATTATTAAATAGATACTTTCATGATAAGAATACAAATCAATAATTATATACTCTAAGTATATAAACAAACAAAATGAAATGAACTATAATGTTATTGTTTCTAAGAATATAATAATTGGTTAGAGAACTAACAAAGCTTTGATTATTCAATAAAACGCACACAATTAATCAATATTTTTTACTATCAAAACACAAAATCATAAAATATATTGATAATAAATTTATATTCTTAATTGAGAAAAATAAATTTATATTTTTCAAGGAAAAATCATAAAATATATTGCTAATATAGTTTTTAAATTTTACAAATGAAGTTAGTAGTGTGATATATACCTTTTAGGCTTTAGAGTATATTAAAAAAAAACTAAATGAAAAAAAAGTGAGTGATATGTTAATTTTTTAATCCACTTGTGAAGATGAAAAAAACTCAACTAACAATATATCAAATAAATTTTTTTCTTCAAGATTATTGTTTCTTAGCAATATTGACTTTGGTTTCATAAAAATATCTTAAGTACTAAAATTTGAAATCAAATATAAAAAAAAATTAGGATAGACCGAAATTAACTTGGATGTAGTATAGAATCAATCTATAAAAGATAAAATAAAAACTAAGTTTAGTAACAATTCAAGGGAACATGAGATTATGTTTATAAAGTAAAGATTCATTTAGGCATTGTAATGTTAAGGTGTGATTGAATAGAGTGATTAGAAATATTATAATCAACCATTGCAATCATTAAACATATAAATGTATATTTATCATAAAAATACAAAAATCAAACTTACATACTTACCATAATACATGTATTACTCTTTTTGAATAATTTTTTGATAATTTAATTTATAATTTTGTATGAACTTTAATTTTAATTAATCTAAATTAAATAAATAAAAAAATATAAATATATTTAAGGACTCATGATATGTACCATTAAAGAAGATAAAAAAGTAAATTAGATTGTATCTTGAAAATGAAAAATTATATGCTTTACTTCATATAAAATTAAATGTTTTGGGGCATACACATTATGATATAATAATTTAGACTAAAACGATTAGTAATTGAGAAATAAGGAAAAGATTTTGTCTATATTTTATTCAATATTAAGGACTCATAGTATGCCAGGGCTCATTGGATGAGAATGTGTTTTATATGAATTTGATTACATTATTACTTATGAAATTTAACAAAAAAGAATTTTAAAAATAAAGATGAGAGTAAATTTGAGTTAATTTTGGACAACAAATCCACCATATTTCACAAATAAATTTTTAATGTAGTTTAATTTGATATAAATTTTATTTGTAAATTTTTAATTGATTTAAATTTAAATAACAAATGAATAAAAAACTATATATGTAATGACAAATAATCATTATTAGATAAATAAATAATGCTAGAAATTGAAATATAAATTTGTTATTTTTTAAAATTTATAAGGGTATTTATGTTACTCATTTTTAACACTTTTAGATTTAAATTTAAATAACTAACTAATAAAAGCTATATATTTAATGACAAATAATTTTTATTAAATAAATACTGCTAGAATTTTAAAGATAAATTTTTTATTTTTTAAAATTTATAAGGGTATTTATATCATTCACTTTTAATATTTTTAAAATTCACGCTTTTATATATAGATAGAGTGATAGATGATATCACAATGCTTGACTACTGGGTAGTTTTTCATTAAATGATTTTGGACTTTTAATAGATTTATTGCTACAATCCACTAACAACAACAAGAATAATAATAATAATTATTATAAATTCAATGATTTATTTCATGCATATCATTTATGGATTTATGAGGTATGCATACATTTTTGAAGAAATTTTGAAGAACATAGTTTGATCTTGAACATTTATCTCCATCTTTATGTCCAAAGATTTGGACACAAATCCTCCAAAAATTATAGCAGTTTTTCAGGGTATGCTAATAGTGTCTTATGATTTCATGTTTTCTGATTGTACAAAATGTGTAGCATTCTTTCTTTGTTTCTACCACCAAAAAATTGTCGTGGCTGGTTGACGAAGACTTAGTCCAAATTAAGTCAATTATATTTGTATAATTTTGATGAAATATTTGCTTTATAGTCTCATTTTCCATGTTAAAGATGTTGCAGACTTGCATTCATAGTCAAGGTCGCATAATCATCTAATTGACAGTCAACACCCCCTCTTTCACTCACCCATGATGTCCTTTGTTGTTTTTTTTAATTGACCATATACCCAAATAGTCTGTCATTCATTCACCTAAAACGCCACACCAACTGACAAATTCAAGATTTTTTAAAGGTTATTTGTTTATAATATATAAAAATATTGTTAATAAATTTATCAATTTTATTAATAAAAATTATGTTTAAAAGAAAATTTTAAAATATCCAAAATTTTTTTAATTTTCTAATTTTTGGGAGTGTCGTGTGAAAAATTTTGAAGTATCCAAAAAAGTTTGCTTTAAAAATTTTTTGATTTCCAATTTCATAGACACGTCACCAAAGCATTTAGATCCGTGCTGACCACACCTGGTTTCAGCTCCTTTGAGCTTATGGGTTTGTCTTTTTTTATTTCCTTTGGGCATATGGGTTGAATATCCATAATTTCAGCTCAATTCGTTGATATATGAGTGCTTGTCTTTGTAAATTAATTGTGTTAGTGGACTTTTGTTCTAATGCTTGTTCATGAACATTAATTGAATTTCTCAGTTCCTATAGTTCTATGTCGTATTAGATGCTTCGTTGTTTTGATTGAATTAAAGTTTATGCCAAATGTTTACAAAAAATTAATTTCTTGTAGAAATTGGTTAGTGTAGGAAATCATTGTTATAAACATAAATCTTTAATTTCTATGTGAGAGTGATTAGGAAGGCTTTGATTTCCTCCGGAGAAGAGTCCGTCATTGCCTACCCAGTATTCTCATAAATAGAGTTTCTCATAAATAGTGAGAAACCAATTATCAATGTTTTCATTCTCTGCCCACAGCATTCTTTCACAGTTGGCTTGAAATTCAAGATTGTTTTTGCTTTCCTAAATAATTCTTTTTTTTTTTTTATAATAAAAATAATTTATCAAATTTAGTGGTTTTGCTTTCCCAGATAACACATTAAGCTTTGTATTTGAAATAGTAAAGAAAGTGAATTTAAAATTTGCTTTTTTCATTATGTTAGTCAAATTTTCTACATAACCAAGATCTAAAAAAATCCATGAATTTGTCATCTAATTACAAAAACAATGTTTTAAGAATTCTTATTATGCAATTTATACTAATTAATTTTGAAATATAAATAGTTTCATATTTAAATTTCCTAATGCCATTGTAGACAATTGCAAAATTTGAATTTCATGGTGTGTGGATTTACAAACAAAATTTTTTCTCTTCACACATAGTTTAATTATTGAAACTATCAATATAAACCTACATATAATATTATCTTTTATATTTTGAAGAAGAGACTGGCATAAAGTAAATTTATTTGAGGAAAATGTTCAAGGAAATAGTGGAAGGATGTTATACAAAGATCACTAGTGATGTACACTTAACATCTTCCCATCTTAATTGTGAGAAAAGATATTAGTTAAGGTGGAATTAATGTGGGTTTGCCATGTATAAGATCTGTTTATTAGAATGTTTGCATTTTTTTATTTTGTCAATATTTGGTTGATTTCTAACCTGGAAATGGCCCATTGAAAACAATTGAGTTGACAAGAGTGCAACTCAAACTTGCTTTTTGGGTAGAAGGTAAAAAATTGATGATATTTGTCAAAGTCAATCCCAATCTTTCTAAGTTACAAGTTGTCAAGAAGTCATATGTGGTTACAATTATAGTGTATTGTTAGGTCAGAAAACTTCATTAGTTTTCTATTTCAATCCGATTATTTTTCCTTTTTCTAACTTTTAACTAGAAAGTGAGTTAATCGAGTGTCGTAACGGTTTTGTGTCTGCCCGATGAATTTAGAAACAAAATAAAAAAAAAAATGGAGTCGCCACCAATCTTTTTTTTTGCTAGGTGCGATTGGCCACCTATTAAAACATATCCTTTTAATGAAATCTTAAAATTAATTAAAATTTATTAAAAGAATAATTTTAAGGTCTACGCAACAGTCTAAGTTCGGGAGTCAGTTACGTGTGGGGAAGGATTAGCACCCCCACAAAGCCCGTTTAAAAACAGTACCAATTAACTACATGTTATTCTTTGATTTTGATAAAAAATAGTCTCATTTCAGTGTTTGAAAAATAATTTTCTTGTTTTTTTTATTTATTAGAAATTTTTTTATTATTTATTGTTTATTGTTTCATTTTTTATTTGAGAAAAAATAAATTAGAATATTTTTATTGAAATAATTCTTAAAATGTTCCAATACATTGGTAACATTAGAAGAACTTTTTCTCACTTAGAGATTTCTTAGACATTGCTTCTCGAAATTTCTTAGAATCCCATCCTTGGGGGATCAAATTTACATTTCGTAAAAATTTATGTCATGCATGCAATACAAAATGTTACCATGTTGATGCACACATTTCATTCTCTTTTTTAGAAATTTTATTAATATTTATTATTATTTTCACTTTAAAGAAATAAAAAAAGAGGAATTTTTATTATATTGAAGATTTTTTTATAAATATTCTAATACACTGGTAATATTTAAAAAAATCTTCTCACCTAGAGATTTTTAAAGCATCTCTACTTGGAATACTTTTAAAATCCCATTATCGGATAAAATTTCTTTTTTTCTCATTTTTTATTACCTATTTTTAATTTATTAATTAGTTTTTATTTATTATTTTATAACAAAAGAAAATTTTTATTGCATTAAAAATTTTTTAATAAATATTTCAATACATTGGCAGTATTCAAAAAAAATTTTCTCACCTAAAGATTTCGTAGGTATCATTACTCGGAGTACCTTTGAATCTCATCGTCGGATAAAAATTTCTTTTTTCTTATTTTTCTTATTTTAAAATTATCTCAAATTTTTACTATATATTTCATTATTTATTTTTATTTGTTAATATTATAAAACAACAAAAAGTTATTCTAGGAAATTTAAACATTTTTACATACATAAATATTAATAACAAAATTTAAAATAACAAAAATAATATTTTTAAAAAAATCAAAAAAAATTTATTTTTTACCTAAACTGAACCGATCAATGGTCCGATGGTCTAGTCGCCTTCAGCAGTTCGGGGCTGGTCCGGCTCAGGTCAGCGATTCAGGTCCGATTCGATCTAGGTTGATTCGATTGGACTGGTCAAAGGCCGAAGGAGACGCGGGTCAGTGGGTCGGGTGTGCAGACCTTGGGTCGGGTCACGAGTTGATGCACGGATCCTCAAGGGCTTAAAACGATGTTGTTTTAGGGTTTTATTGAAATGACATCATTTTGGCTTTGGTAGTTTCTATAAAAGGCCTAAATTTTTTTTTTGTCATTTCTTCCCTTTTTTAAAAAAAAAAACTTCTTCTTTTCCCTTTTAGCGCAAGCACAGAGGGGGTCGGTTGGTCGGTGTCCGATCGTCATCGCCGTTGCTCCAGTCGCTGTTGGTGGTCTTCGGGCGATCGTTGAAAAATACCCAAAAACACCAAAATGTTCCCCTTAATCCCTTCTTGTTGGATCCAAACTTCTTTTCACCAAAAATAGCCCCAATCTACATAGATCAGGGTTTAAAGTTTCAATCTCCTTTTTAAAAAAAAAAACCTAAAACTAACTATTTTTTTTTGTTTTTGCAGGTGTTGCTTGGCACTGGGTTCCTTGCTGAATGGCGAGGATTGTGATTTTTGTTTGAATTTCTTTTTTTTGGCAGGAAAAATTTTTGATTTTGGAAACTCTTTTTTTTTTACTATTTTTTTACTGGATCTCTTCCTCCTATCCCTTTTTGGGTTTGGCTAAGAGCTTTATTTATAGAGCTCCGATCATGCCCTATGCTTGAGTGACTGGCACAGAGCATGGCATGTGGTGCAAGCACAAGCTCATTGGCCCTTTTATTTTTTTTTTGTCTTATTCGACAGTTAGGAGTATAGATGGGGTGGATAAGGTTTGCAAGGTATGGGTGACCATCGGATGGGTGATCAGAGGGCAGGGTATGGTGGCCAGTGGTGCCGGGCAAGGCACCACTGCCATCCCCCCTTTTTTGTTTTTTAATTTTTTTATTTTGTATTTTTGTATTTTTTGGTATTTTATATTTTGTATTTTTATATTTTTATATTTTTATATTTTTGTATATTTTGTATTTTGTATTTTTAATTTAATAAAACAAAGAAAATAAAAGGCAGGCTTGGCTTAAAGAACAAAATAGGCTTCGGGCTCAATCGAAATCAGACTTTAGGGCCAGTTGAATTGAAATCAAGCCTGAAGCCCAGTTGAATTGAAATCGGATATCGACCCAATAGCTCGAGAATTATTATTAAAATTCAGAAAAATTTAGTGTCTACAGTTGCCCCTCTTTGTGCATTACTGAGAATCAGGAATAGGGTAAAGACAACGATAGCAATTTTGTCTGGAATCCAAAAGGATTTTTCTTTTCTTTTATTTTCTTTTTGAACATAAACTACTCAAAAAGTTTTTCTCGTCAAATCAAAAATGCTCCTCTCACTTGAGGCTCGACAACTTTTAAAAATTTAAAATTTGAAAGAGACTTCTCTCGGCAAAGGCTCAACAACTTTAAAAATTTAAAATCTGAAAGAGACTCCTCTCGGCAAAGGCTCAACAACTTTAAAATCTGAAAGAGACTCCTCTCAGCAAAGGCTCAACAACTTTAAATTTTATCTTGAAAAAGTTCATCTAAGTAGAGGCTCAATGAATTTAAAAATCTTATTTGAAAAAAGCTCCTCTCAACAGAGGCTCAACAACTTTAAAAATCCTCATCTTGAAAAAGTTCCTTTAAGTAGAGGCTCAACAACTTTAAAAATCTCATTTTGAAAAAGCTCCTCTTAGCAGAGGCTTAACAACTTTAAAAATTCTCATCTTGAAAAAGCTTATCTAAACAGAGGCTCAACAACTTTAAAAATCTCATCTAGAAAAGCTCCTCTAAGCAGATGTTCAATAACTTTAAAAATCTCATCTGAAAAAAGTTTCTCTAATCAGAGGCTCAACAACTTTAAAAATCTTCATCTTGAAAAAGCTCATTTCAGCAAAGGCTCAGCAACTTTAAAAATCTCATTTGAAAAAAGCTCCTCTTAGCAGAAGTTCAACAACTTAAAAAAAATCCTCAACTTGAAAAAGCTCATCTCAGTAGAGGCTTAACAACTTTAAAATTCTGTCTTAAAAAGGCTCCTTTTAGCAGAGGCTCAACAACTTTAAAAATCTATCTTGAAAAGCTCCTCTCAACAGAGGCTCAACAATTTTAAAAATCCATCTTGAAAAGCTCCTCTCAGAAAAGGCTCAACAACTTTAAAATTCTATCTGTTCTCAAAACTGAGTTTTCATCTTTGAACAAGTAAATTTCTCTTTTTTGAAATCTTTTGTTTGATCTTGTTTTTCATTAGGAAATGGAAAGTCTTTGTCCTCATTATTCATGGATGCATGTGCTGAGTACTCTAAATGTAATGCATGTAATGCAATCAAAATTATTCATTGTGGTAAAAAGGTTGTCGAAATCTCTTGCTTTTTGGTTTCCTTTATCAAAATTGCCATATGACCAATATGTTTTTAACATCTGACCATTGTATTCTTCCCTAACAATATTATTCTTCTTCAAAACTCTGCAACATTAATGCCTTATCATATCAGTCTCATCTTTTTTCATTTGTCTTTGTCAATTTTTAAAAAGTAATGTTGAGATCTTTTATGTTTATGTTTTTTTTCATCATTTTAAGTTCAAGACAAACAAAATGCAATCACATAATTCTTTTATTTATACGGTGAAGAAATATCAAATGAGAATTAAAGGAATGGATAGGCATTATTTCCAAAAGAAAGATAACATATTTCATTAGATGACGAAGTGTTTAAGTCGAAACAAAGGTGCCCGAATAATGATCATATGATAATCATGAACAAAATATTTCAGATTCTTTTTCTAAAACTAAATCAAATGACTTCCTTGATTCTTCAGAATTCATCAAATTGCACTGGCCCCTGTGTTGTGGGATGATGCTTCTCATTTGCATCCAAGTTGCCTTTTTAGGTTTTCAGCTTAGATACATCATTTTTTTCATTTTTTATTTTTTTTTCAAGCAAAATATTTCTTTACAACATCTGAATTTATTGGAGTGGGTAAATCACCTCCATCCATCTCTACCAAAATTAATGCCCCACCAGACAAGAATTTTTCACCACGTACGGGCCCTCCCAATTTGGTGTCCATTTTTCTCGATTGTTATGTTGATTTGGAAGGATTTTTTTTAGCACTAAATCTCATTCCCTAAAGCAACGAGGATGAATTTTCTTGTCATGTGCTTTCATCATCCTCTTTTGATATAATTGACCATGACAAAGTGTTGTAAGTCTTTTCTCTTCAATGAGGATTGTGATTTTTGTTTGAATTTTTTTTTTGGCAAGAAGAATTTTTGATTTTGGAAACTCTTTTTTTTTTTTTTTACTTTTTTTTGTTGGATCTCTTCTTCCTATCCCTTTTTGGGTTCGGCTAGGAGCTCTATTTATAGAGCTCCGATCGTGCCCTATGCTTGAGTGACTGCCATAGGGCATGGCATGGGGTGCAAGCACGAGCTCATTGCCCTTTTTATTTCTTCTGTCTTATTCGACAGTTAGGAGTATAGATGGGGTGGATAAGGTTTGCAAGGTATGGGTGACCATCGGATGGGTGATCAGAGGGTAGGGTATGGTGGCTAGTGGTTCCGGGCAAGGCACCACTGCCATCTCCCCTTTTTTGTTTTTTATTTTTTTTGTATTTTGTATTTTTGTATTTTTTGGTATTTTGTATTTTGTATTTTTTGGTATTTTATATTTTTGTATTTTTTGTATTTTTAATTTAATAAAACAAAGAAAATAAAAGGCAGGCTTGGCTTAAAGAATAAAATGGGCTTCGAGCCCAATCGAAATAAGACTTTAGGGCCAGTGGAATTGAAATCAAGCCTGAAGCCCAATTAAATTGAAATAAGGCCTGAAGCCCAGTTGAATTGAAATCGGATATCGGCCCAATAGCCCGAGAATTATTATTAAAATTCAGACAAATTTAGTGTCTAAAATTGCCTCTCTTTGTGCATTGCTAAGAATCAGAAATAGGGTAAAGACAACGACAACAATTTTGTCCAGAATCCAGAAAAGGAATTTTCTTTTCTTTTCTTTTTTTTTTGAACATAAACTACTCAAAAAGTTTTTTCTCGTCAAATAAAAAATGCTCCTCTCACTTGAGGCTCGACAACTTTTAAAAATTTAAAATCTGAAAGAGACTCTTCTCGGCAAAGGCTCAACAACTTTAAAATTTTATCTTGAAAAAGTTCCTCTAAGCAGAGGCTCAATGACTTTAAAATCTTATTTGAAAAAAAGCTCCTCTCTTACAGAGGCTCAACAACTTTAAAAATCCTCATCTTGAAAAATTCCTCTAAGTAAAGCTCAACAACTTTGAAAATCTCATTTGGAAAAAGCTCCTCTAGCAATGCTCAACAACTTTAAAAATTCTCATCTTGAAAAAAGTTTCTAAACAGAGGCTCAACAACTTTAAAAATCTTCATCTCAAAAAGCTCCTCTAAGCAAAGCTCAATAACTTTAAAAATCTCATCTGAAAAAAGTTCCTCTAAAAAGCTCAACAACTTTTAAAAAATCTTCATCTTGAAAATCCTTTCAGTCGAGCTCACAACTTTAATCTCATCTGAAAAAAGCTCGTCTTAGCAAAAGCTCAACAACTTTTAAAAAATCCTTAACTAAAATGCTCATCTCAGTCGAGGCTTAACAACTTTAAAATTCTATCTTAAAAAGGCTCTTTTCAGCAGAGGCTCAACAACTTTAAAAATCCATCTTGAAAAGCTCCTCTCTATAAAAGCTCAACAACTTTAAAAATTCTCGTCTTGAAAAAGCTCATCTCAGAAAAGGCTCAACAACTTTAAAATTCTATCTGTTCTCAAAATCGAGTTTTCATCTTTGAACAAGTAAATTTCTCTTTTTTGGAATCTTTTGTTTGATCTTGTTTTTCATTAGGAAATGGAAAGTCTTTGTCCTCATTATTCATGGATGCATGTACTGAGTGCTCTAAATGCAATGCATGTAATACAATCAAAATTATTCATTGTGGTAAAAAGGTTGTCGAAATCTCTTGCTTTTTGGTTTCCTTTATCAAAATTGCCATATGACCAATATGTTTTTAACATCTGACCATTGTATTCTTCCTTAACAATACTATTCTTCTTCAAAAGTCTGCAACCTTAATGTCCTATCATACCTGTCTCATCCTTTTTCATTTGTCTTTGTCAACTTTTAAAAAGTAATGTTGAGATCTTTCATGTTTATGTTTCTTTTCATCATTTTAAGTTCAAGACAAATAAAATGCAATCACACAATTCTCTTATTTATACGGTGAAGAAATATCAAATGAGAATAAAGGAATGGATAGGCATTATTTCCAAAAGAAAGATAGCATATTTCATTAGATGACGAAGTGTTTAAGTCGAAACAAAAGTGCTCGAAAAATGATCATATGATAATCATGAACAAAATATTTTCAGATTCTTTTTCTAAAACTAAATCAAATGACTTCCTTGATTCTTCAGAATTCATCAAACTGCACTTGCCCCTGTGTTGTGGGATGATGCTTCTCATTTGCATCCAAGTTGCCTTTTTAGGTTTTCAGCTTAGATACATCATTTTTTTTCATTTTTTATTTTTTTTTCAAGCAAAATATTTCTTTACAACATCTGAATTTATTGGAGTGGGTAAATCACCTCCATCCATCTCTACCAAAATTAATGCCCCACCAGACAAGAATTTTTCACCACGTACGGGCCCTCCCAATTTGGTGTCCATTTTTCTCGATTGTTATGTTGATTTGGAAGGATTTTTTTTAGCACTAAATCTCATTCCCTAAAGCAATGAGGATGAATTTTCTTGTCATGTGCTTTCATCATCCTCTTTTGATATAATTGACCATGACAAAGTGTTGTAAGTCTTTTCTCTTCAATGAGGATTGTGATTTTTGTTTGAATTTTTTT